TTACTGGTAAAGCTGGCTTGTGCTGTGTCCTCCTATGCCGTGGTTGTTTCCTAGGAACCTTGCAGCCATTCCTTGTTACTTGGCTTCGGATTCTTCTTCGTGTACTGTCTCCAGCCCAACGACACAGAATGGGTTTACTTAAGTTGGAATCTTCCACTTCATCAATGCCAAGTGAAATTTTCCCCCACAAGGATTTTTATTTCACCTAAGTCTGGAGCTACAAATTGACTTGTAGAGGACAAGGGCAGTGAGTATAGGGAGTCAGAGAAAAGTTGTATAACCCCAATTCCATAGTCTAGACAGCCGTGGGCCAGGGTTATATCTCAGTGGTAGCACTTGGCTAGTGTTCATGGAGGTTTAATCCATAGTGCTGATTAAAAAGAAATATAGTAGTAATTATGTAGATAACTTCTACTACTTTTACTCACTGGATAGATTGTTAACCTGTACAAGAAAGATGCATGGTGAGTCTGATGTTGTTTCTTCTTGGTGAAGCCTAACTGGTCTTCTAGGGCTGCCCAGCTCTTTTGGGGTTTAGAATCTCATCTAGGATTTATGTCAAGCTTGCCAGAGGGAGACGGATATTTTCTGTTTGCATTGGGTGCTAGGTATTTGGTAGATTCTGTGTCATTGCCTCCAGTTGCTCTGTAAGGCAGATTCCTCTTCCCCCCAGTATTGGGGATGGAACCCAGGGTCTTGGACAAATGAGACAGGTATTCTGTGTCCTATATTTTTCAGCAGAGGAAACTAAAGCCTAGAGAGAGGTTAGATGTCCAAGTGTCTAGGAAACAACTGGTAGAGCTAGGATTTAAACAGATTCCGAAGCCCTTGCTCTTTCCATGATACCACGCTGCCTTCAATTTGCAGGCAAAGCCTTTCTTTTCTTTCCCTTTTAAACAAGAGTAATAGGACTTTCTGCTCTCTAGTTTCCAACACTTCTTGTTTCCAAAATTGAAATCATACCTATCTTTCAGCTCTCTCACAAGTAAGTGTTCTCATCTTTCAGGAATATAACTCACTGTCTTCGAAGATGTGTACACGTGTAGAATACAAAGAACATTGTAAGATCTCTTCAGACCTCTGGGTTATCAGTTCCCACTCCCTGGTATTTAGTCCACCTTCTTCATTCCTGTAACAGCCTCAGAGAAGATGGAACAGGAGTTGAGGAATTGTATTTCCTTGTGTTCCCTCATCCCCTGTTGGGTGAGCAATACTTCTTGGTAGTCTTTCTCTCAACACTGACTGAGAAGCCCTTGCTTGGTTTTCCATCACACTTTCTCTTTTGCAAGCTGAGCTCATTGCTGCCTTCCTGGAACTACTCCTTGATACTTGACACTTCTGTTATTCATCTTTAACTGTTATTCATCTTTAATCATGTGCTCTCCATCCCTGCCTCCAAGTCTTGTCTAGATCTGTGAGTATTTCAGGGTCTCCAGTGTAACCCCTAACATACCTGTTTTTCTCTTTCTCTGTATGATCATTTCAAAGGAAATTTTGTTTAAAAAGTAAGAATAGGGCTGGGGATTTAGCTCAGTGGTTCCGACACCTGCCTCACAAGCGCAAGGTCCTGAGTTCAATCCCCGGAATCAAAAAAAATAAAATAAAAAAAAAAGTAAGAATATTCAGTTTAAAAGATAAAACTTTGAGGTATCAAAATGCTCTTGACCATCATTCCAGGTGGAATCTCAAGTGTTGGACTTGTGTTCACCTCTGTAAAGTAAGACCTGAGTATACTGATGCTTTTCCTTTCTGACCATCTGATATTTAAGATAGCATGGTTGATTTCTGTTTATATTCTTCCTGTTCTTATAAAAATGACAGTTTCCTTCTGTTAGTATTTTGGTCCAGAATGGCAGTTTTCCCCAGGCAGTGTTTGAACCATCAGTGTTCAGCTTGCTTGCATTAAATTGCTAATCAAATAATCATCACCTATAATTGTTGTTCTATCCCAGTTTTCTGACCAGTTAGGGGCCCATCTCCTATTTGGTTAGTGATCTCTACCAGACTCTCAGAAACAGAATTTCTATATTTTTCCCTTTCCCTCATGTGTGTGCTTCAACTTGGTTCTACATCAAGTTCATTAGTTCCATCATAATTATTAGATGCAGACTCTACAGTAATATTTATTATGTACTCGAACACCTCTTCACCAGTCTTTCTTTGTATTAGGTCTTCCATGTTTTAGCCAGATCGTAAACCTCATTCAAGTCACAGTACTGTGTGCAATTATATTTTCCACACTAATTTATCATTATAATAAAATTTATTACCCATATTTTCTGGGAAAAGCCACCATGACTTTAATCACTTTTTTACTAAAAACAACTTGTATGATAATTTATTAAGATATATCAATGTTTGGTATGAAAAAATATTGTAAAAGTTTGCTTGCCGGTTAGGGCCGGGGATTTGGCTCAGCGGTTCCTCTGCCTGCCTCACAAGCGCAAGGACCTGAGTTCGATCCCCGGTACCAAAAAAAAAAGAAAGAAGTTTGCTTGCCAGTGATTAAGTTATAGTCTGGTGTTTTAATATACCATTAACATTTACATTCTGTTTAAGGAAACCCATTTTAACAGTCTTTGAAACAGTGTTTCAACACAAAATTTTAATTTTTCAGTAATATTTTTGAAATTTTGCAGACCCTTTTCACTCACTAAATTAAAAATTGTATTTTATCAATATTTTAAAAGTTTGTTATCAATTAATACATTAAACCATTTCCAATTTTACCATTACTCTTCCTCTAGGATTCTCCAAAAGCCCAGCCTCGCAGGACAATAGAATGTTGTCGGACCAATCTGTGTAACCAGTATTTGCAGCCTACACTGCCCCCTGTCGTTATGGGTAGGTTAGCCATGGTTCTCTGTTACATAGTTTCTCTGCTTTTAGCAGTAACCTTTAAGCTGCCTGGAATTTAGCATGCAGTGTTGTTTTTCCTTTTGATGAATGTGGTGGAAAAATGCTGTTTATTTCATTGTCTACCTCTGTTGGCAGGTCCATTTTTTGACGGCAGTATTCGATGGCTGGTTGTGCTTATTTCCATGGCAGTCTGCATAATTGCTATGATCATCTTCTCCAGCTGTTTTTGTTACAAGTAAGAAGATGCTTGGTTTGATGCAAAATACTTTGTTAACTATTAGTTATTGATAACTTTAAAACCACTGGCAGAAAAACCACTGATTGCTGTAGGTGATTCAGAAACTGTTAATTTGTATTCTCTGGTAATATCTCCTTAAGTAAAATAAAATAGAAAAAAATATCTCAAGTTAACTAGTTTTTTAAGAGGAAAAAAGATCTTCCTACCAATTAATTAATTGTATACAATTTTATACTTAAGTGTTCCTGCATATTCACAATTTTCTTGTTTGTGAAATATTGAGCTTTGTTATGTCTGAAGTTTTACACCCTGTCCCTAGAAACCAGTTGCCTTATATTCTTTACTAACTGGCAGCTTCAGAAATGTTTACACTTAATCACTTTAGAAGACAGTTGCCAAAAAGAAGAGTAGTAAGATGTCCATTACCAGACATCAACTTCAATAATAAACATCGTCATAAAATGGATTAATATAGAGATACCAATGAACTAGGTTAGCAAGTTTTGTGTATTATAAAGGTAATATTTCAGATCACTGAAGAGAAGGATGTATTATTCAATAAATGGATTTGAGACTAGGTAGCTACTGATTGATGGGAAAAAATGAAGTTGGAACAATTCCTGCACTGAAATAAATTTGAGCAAGATCAGAATTATACATGTATGTAATAAAATGTATCTTGGAGTTTGGAAGACTTCTGATACAAAACTTGGAATCAAATAAATATAGTAGGTAGGTGGATAGATAAATAGATAGAATAGTATTAGCTACATAAACATAAAACTACTATATGCCAGGTGTAGTACATGCCTGTACTTCCAGGACCCTGGGAAACTAAAGCAGGAGAATTGCAAGTTCAAGCCTAGCCTGTCACAAAATTAAATTTTTTTTTAAAACTTGGGGAAGCAGCTCAGTACAAGGGCCCTGGATTCAATCCCCAGTACCAACAAAACAAAACTCTACTATGTGGCAAAAACCACCACAAACAGCCACATGACAGACTGTAAAAAATGTGGGCAGCTTTACTCCAAAGGGCTGATATTTTGCAAGTATCCTTTTTTAAAAATGCAGACATATTCATTATTCATTTTAACACAATACAGTTGTAAACACAAATGAAAACATGCACAGTAGAAAGTGAGTATTCCTGTGCTGCGTACCCTTTCTGATACTTTATAGGTGTACAAATATGTAAAACTTCTGTAACAGCCTGGATGATACTTTGCATGCCACTTGATCCATTTTTTCACTGCCAGTACCCCATGAACATCTTGCTCTTTGACTTAGCGCACAGCACTTACCCTTGTGAGCTCCATTAACACAGGATATTTTCTGTGACAAGACGGACTTGTGTATAAATTATACCTGAAGGAAGGATGATGGTGTGGGGAACTTAGGGAAATCAGCTCAGAATTGTATGGTTTCAGAATTTTAATATAGATTGTTTTCTGCTTTTTAAAAGACACTATTGCAAGAGCATCTCAAACAGACGTCGCTACAATCGTGATTTGGAACAGGACGAAGCATTTATTCCAGTGGGAGAGTCACTGAAAGACCTTATTGACCAGTCACAGAGCTCTGGGAGTGGGTCTGGACTTCCCTTACTGGTAAGCCAGCGTTTCCTGTGAGCACAAATGGCACAAAGATGTGGGAGGCATCCTCCTGGGAAGATGGGCAGGGTCATTACTGCAGATTGATGAGTTATTGCAGATATACCAGGCACCTTTTCTTTCTTCTTATCTGGAAGGATGCATGCCGAACTGCAAGATGAAATGACTTAGTAAGAAATGTATAGCTGGGTGTAGTAGTGCACACCTGTAATCCCAGCACTCTGAGAGACTGAGGTAGAAAGACAGCAAGCCCAGGCTAGGGTACTTAGCAACTTATGAGACCCTGTTTCAAAAAAAAAAAAAAAAAAAAAATGTGAACCAAGAAAAATAGAATAGGTAAGTAAGATAGAGCCCAAAGTAAGAAAGAAGTGTGTTATATAGAGGGCAAGAAGGTAGGTCAGGCCAGGTGTGGTGGTGTACGCCTGTGATCCCAGCACTTGGGAGGCTGAGGGCAGGAGGATTGCGGTGAGTTCTAGGCCAGCCTGGGCTACATAATGAGTTCAAGCTTAGCCTGAACTACATAGCAAGACCCCATCTCAAAAAAATAGAAGAGAAGATTAGGTCATAGAGTCTTATGTAAGTGTAAGAGTCACAAGTTTTGCACTAAGTATTTTAATAGCCAACATGAAGAGGAGTCAAGTGTAAGATTCTCTACATCTGTAAGATTAAGTTGACCGGTTGAGGGAAGTATAACTGTTTCAGAAGTAAAGAGGGGTATAAATCTAACAAGTTTATATATGTGAAAATAGATTCAGGTGTCAAGAGGACTCTCACAGTAACACTAGCTATCCAAATAGATTTTTAAAAAATAATTATTTGTTTATTGGTACATTTTAGGTATACATAATGATCACATTCGTCATGCAGAATTTGTACCAGATTTTTAATTAATTTCATTAGCTAAAAATAAATACATTGCCATCCAGTTTAGAACTTCAGGAAAATCCCAAGAATGGTAGAATAAAACTAATGCAAACAGTAAGTGAGTTTGTCAGGTCGCAGAATAAAGTCATTGTATAAATAATATTAAATTTATATACACTAGCAACAGACTATTGGAAAAGGAAATTTACAAAATGGTATTACTCTCCCCACCCACCCTCCACCCCCAACCCCGTACCAGGGATTTAACTCAGGACCTTGCACTTGCCAGGCAGTGCCACTGAGCTACATCCCCAGCCCACAAAGTGATATTTTAAATGGCATCAGAACATGAAATATTTAGGGATAGGTTTAAGAAAATGTGTGTAAGACTTGTATAAGATTTGCACATTGGAAATTATAAAACATTTGTTAGTTAAGTCCTAAACAAGTGAAGACATATATCCTGTTTATGAATGAGAGGACTCAGTATTATAATATCTTTAGTTTACTTCAAATTTGTGTATAGTTTTTTGGTTTTTTTAAACAAGGTCAGGCTTTGTAGTTCAGGCTGCCTTGAACTCACTATGGAGCCCACGCTGGCCTTGAACTCACTCAGCAATCCTGCGCAACCTCCCCAGCATGCGATTACAGGTGTGCACCACCACACCCGACAGTTTCATTTTAATACAGATAAATTTTGAAGAAACTGATGAGCTGATTCTCAGATTTATAAGGAAATACAGAGGAGCTTTTGGCTTGCTGTTAGCACAGGGTAGAGCAGCACTGAGTCTGGGAAGGGACACACAGACATGGGCAGTTGATTTTTCTTTGTAAATAACGATAACCAAAGTGACTCAGTGGTGAAAAGACAGTCTCTTCAACAGATGGTCAGGAAGCTCAAATAGCCATTTGCTAAAAGGTGAATCTTACCCCTTATCTCATGGCGTGTACAAAATTAACTTGCAATGGACTAGAGACCTAAATGTTAAACCCATTTATGTCGAAGAGTGAAATTGTTTTAATTTTTGCATGAGATTTATATATGTTACCTAGAAAAGTTCAAGAAATAAGAATTTGAAGAAAACAGTTTATTATGTTCCATTGTTATGGGGGTTCCAAAAATAGATCACTAGGGCCGGGGATTTAGTTCAGTGGTTCCGGGGCCTACCTCGAAAAATAGATCACTAGACATTGAAAGGTTAAATTCTAAAACCTCTAAGAGTATTGGAGAAAATTTTTGTGACCTTGAGTTGAGTAAAGGCTTCTTAGCACACAAAAAGTGTGAATGAGCATCATCAAAAATTACAATTCTTGCTATGCAGAAAACTGTTAGGAAAGTGAAGAGACAAGCCACAGATGGCAAAGTAGATCTAATGAAGGACTTCTGTGCAGAATATGTCAAGAAATTTACAGCTCAGTGATAAGAACAGACACTTTTCAAAGAAGATATAGTACTGGCAGATGAGCACGTAAAAAGATGCTCAACAGCAATGGAGACATGCAGATTAAGCACCATGAGACACTGCTGCACCTCCACCCTGGTGCCTCAGATTGACAAATTGAACAGTTTGACAGCTGACCTGAAAGCTAAGCTTGCTTGCTTGCTTGCTTGATTTGTGGTGCTGAGGATTGAACCCAAGGCCTTAGAAGTAATCTACATTGCCAGCTCTTCTCTATTATTTTATTGAATGCTTTTTTTTTGGTACTGGGGATCAAACTTGAAACCTTGTGCTTACAAGGCAGGCAGCGGCACCACTGAGCTAAATCCCCAGCTTCTCTATTATTTTATGTTGAGATAGGGTCTTGATAAGTTGCTCAGGCTGGCCTTGGACTCACCACCCTCCTCAGCCTCCTGAAGTCCTGGCTTACAGACATATGCCACTGTGTCCGGCCCATGTGTGTTGTATACAGGGACTCAGGTCTTCTGCTAACTATTTACCCAAGAGTTACAAAAACACATCCACACAGAGACCTGACTGAGTGTTTATGGCAGTCGCACTCATAACAGACATAGATTAAAAACAGCCCCCAAGTCCATCAGCTGATAGATGGATAAACAAATCGGGATACATTCATACAGTAGAATACGACTCATTAACAAAGAGGAGCCAACCCCTGATGCCTGTAGCAGCAGCATGGATCACGTCAAAGCCTTGTGTGCTCCATGAAGGAAGCCAGACAAAAAGGCTGCGTGTTGAATGCATCTCTTTCTCTGACACTCCAGAAAGGGTAGGTCTGTAGCGGCAGAGACCAGGTCAATGATGCCAGGGACCGAGGAGTGTGGGGACTTTTTTAGGGAATGGAAATGGTCTATATCTTAAATGCAGTTCTGGGGATCAGATGACTGTATTTGTCAAAACTTAGTCCACTGTTCTCAAAAAGGGTGAATTTTATTGTATATAAATCATACCTTAATAGTCCTTTAAAAAAAAGATTGCAGATAGAATCTGTAATAAGTGGTGCCTGAAGTCAGTGGGTTTAGGTTTGCACAGACTCTGCCCCACTCTCCCTGTGGTGCTGGGCATGAATCTGTGCCCTCACACGAGCCAGGCAGGGGCTCAGGACCACACGCTGCATGGCCTGCTGGACCCGGGTGGTGTAGCTGACACACAGATTGGCAGCTTGTGAGGGCCTGCTTGGGAGACGAGCTTCCCAGAATGTCAGAAAAGGGCAAGCCCCACACACAAACACTTGCCAGGTCTTTGCTTTGCAGCACACTCACTGTAGCCAGAGCCCAAATCTGCCTAGGGTGACTGTTTTTGCATCCACTACCTGTTCCTGCATGATTTCAGAATACGTTGTACATTGTTTCTTCACGTAAGTACGGTGTGCATTCTAACACTGCAATTGGTTGCTCGGATGTACCAGTCTTCTTGATGGCGCAGACTATCATGCCCCTTTGTCTTTTCACCAAGACCTCAAAACCTTTTATTTTGTTCTGCAAAGGTTCAACGAACTATTGCCAAACAGATTCAGATGGTCCGGCAGGTTGGAAAAGGCCGGTATGGAGAAGTGTGGATGGGTAAATGGCGTGGAGAAAAGGTGGCGGTCAAAGTTTTTTTTACCACTGAAGAAGCAAGCTGGTTCCGAGAAACGGAGATCTACCAGACGGTGCTGATGCGCCATGAGAATATACTTGGTGGGTGCCCTCGTGTTCATGCAGGGTCGGTGCCCTGGGTACCTGCCACGTCCATGTGTTTGGTACCCAGCCGGAGAGGATGGGTAGTGATACTCATGTGTAGACTTACTCCTGAAATAACAAAAGCCACATTTGTACAGATGCTTCAAGCAGCTTTCTAGGGTAATTCTTAAGTACACGTGCAGTTTGCCTTTTGTAAGCTCAACACCTGAACGTGCAGGTCTGTGTGTGTTCTGGGTGTAGTGTGTGCCTTTCCCACCTTGTTCCACAGCAGCAATGATTTAGGCATGATGCAGTCAGCAGGGCACATGAATGGACCTTGTTGCTGGAGTTTTCTTTTCAGCTGCTGTTTCCCAACCCTTTTTCTGGAGAGCCCACAGCATACTGCCATGTGTCTAACAGGCTCTCATTGTACTTTCCTGTTGCTGCTGTGACACATGATGGTGAACAGGGTGGCTCACAACAACACAGGGCTATTCTGTCAGTCTTACGGGTCAGAGTTCAAGGTCAGGTTGTACTTGCTGGAGGCTCAGGAGGATCCTTCCCACCCAGCCTGGCTGCTGTGGCTATGCACAGTGCTGTTTAGAGACAACACTTGAGACTTCGTCACCCAGACTCCTTCCCTGTGTGCCTGTGTCCACATTGCCATCTTAAAGGACACCAGTCGGAGAATCGGAGCCACCCTGCTGTGTCCCAGCCTGGTCCCTTCTGCAAAGACCCTGTTTCCAAGCAAGGTCATAGTCATAGGTGCTTGGTGGACAAGACTTTGGGGCAGCACTGTTGAACCCACACAGTGCTCCCTGCCCTTTTTAAGTATCCAGTTTTCAACATGAAAGAACCTTTTTCACTAGAGATTCATGTAGATTGAGGACATACTGCAGGTTACTTCATAATAGGTACTCTTTTTCTTGGTCATGGCATTTCATGATTGTTGTTTAGATTATTATAAGTCTCTTTCAGGAGTACAATATATATATACACATGTGTGTATATGGTAGAAGTGTGTGTGTGTGATAGAAATAAAGTTTTTAATAACACATTCAGGAGATTTTGCTGGGCAAAATTAAATTATTCCTATCTGCATGTCACATGTCGAGCGTTGTCAGTGCCCTGCTCACTCCTGACCCACTCGTGACCCTCCTGCACCTCTGGTGAAAACTGACCTTTCCCACTCATTACTGTGCAGGATTCATAGCTGCAGACATTAAAGGCACAGGTTCTTGGACACAGCTCTACCTGATCACTGATTACCACGAAAATGGGTCTCTCTATGACTTCCTGAAGTGCGCTACACTGGACACCAGAGCCCTGCTCAAGTTGGCTTATTCTGCTGCCTGTGGTCTGTGCCACCTTCACACAGAGATTTATGGCACCCAAGGGAAACCTGCAATTGCACATCGAGACCTCAAGAGCAAGAACATCCTCATCAAGAAAAATGGAAGTTGCTGTATTGCTGACCTGGGCCTCGCTGTTAAATTCAACAGGTGACAGTTCTTTGACCCACTGTTTTTAAATTGTTTTAATCTCTAAAAGATATTTGCCCACCTGGTACAGAAGCACACCTATAATCCCAGCTACTCAGGAGGGTGAGGCAGGAGTATTACACGTGTGAGGCCAGCCTGGATGACTTGGCGAGACCCTGCAACAAAATGAAAAAAAGAGGTCTGGGGATAAAACCCACTGGTAGCACACACTGGGTTTGATCTCCAGTAACACACGCACACGTGTGTGTGCACACACAGGGCCCATTTGTGTTTAGGACATTGGAATTCTCGAAATGTGTAAATGCTCATTATACAGTGATATAAACATATGATTAGGGTTTTGGAGTTTTCTTTTCATATCATATCCTACTATACATAAATCTTTATTTCCTGCTTTTTATTGTCATAGACAATCCTTCTATGTCAGTTTATGTAAATTGACCTCTTGTTTGCTTTTGTTTTCTTTTGACAGTACTGGGGATTTAACCCAGCCCCTAGTACAGGCTAGGCAAGTTCTCTATCCCTGAACCTCAGCCCTTTTCAAATTCTGTTTTGAGACAGAATTTGATGCCCAGTCTGGCTTCCAACTTGGGATCCTCCTAACTCAGCCTCCCAAGCAGCTGGTTGCACTACCATGCCTGACACTTGATTCTTTTTAACAGATGCAAAGTTTTCAGTAATACAGATGTACTTTTAAGTTGCTACAGATGACCCATCTAATGGACATTATGGTTGCTTCTTGTGTATCTATTACTCAAAAAAGTTAGTGAACATTATTGGGTTTTTTAATATTTAAATTACTCTATTTAAGACAAACAGGGCCGGGGATTTAGCTCAGTGGTTCCGCTGCCTGCCTTGCAAACACAGGTAACAAAAAAACACTTAAGACAAACACCTATAATATAGTGAACGTTATTGTATTTGTGCATATATTATATCCTTGAGCACTTGTACAGAATTTTCTTCGAGATCCCTAGAGAAGGGACTGCTGAGTCAGTTTTCATGTATGAAGTTGTGGTCCACTGCTGATCACCCCTTTTAAAAGTGCACATCGTGAAAAAAAAAAGGTGTGCATCATGTGGTTCTTGCTCTTATAATAGGACAGAGCAGTGCTATTTCTCCACTGTCACTTGAGAATTGTCAATTTAAAAAAACTGTTAGAAAAGTTTAGGAGTCGTGGAAGCCATTTCAAAGTGGCTCTTGAATGCAGTGTTGTAGGGTTAGTTTCACATTTCAGAATTCATATCCGGCCACAATCTGAAATACTAATCTGTAAACAGCTCTGAGGCTGTCTGCATCCCTCCCCGCCATCAGTGCTGAGTCGATGCAGGGCTTGTGGGCACCAGGTGCTGGGTAATAAAGCACAGCACTCAGTGGGTCTGTGCCTGAGGGGGTCTCCTGAGGGGACACACAGCTGAGCATGCATGTCTTCACTCTAAAACTCTGTCCTAAAATTTAAAAACTAGTAAGTAGCTCTGATTGTCATAGTGTTGTAGAAACACTACTTGCAGCAGAACTAGTTGCTGTAAAGAATAAAATGTCCTACGTCTCAAAGACTGGACATATCCTGTGAGATGATGAAAGCGAGTGATTCCTCTCTCCGTTTATTTTTACATTTACTTCTTGGGTATGATTATCTGTACTTTTTCTTCTATTCAGTGCTGCCTTCTTTCCTAGAGCGGCCCTGGTCTTCCTTGGAAACAGGCCCTAGTCTGTCCAGATGTAGAGCCCCCGTTGTCTCCATCCAACTGGGGTATGGGATGGCCTAGTGCTCACGGCCACTCAGGAAGAATTTGGGGCCCTGCTCTGGGCCGCTGCCACATTGTGTATGTGTGATGTGTGTTTAAGGGCGTACTGCTTTCCTCAAAGCCAGAGGTCCTGCGTTTCCTAATATATCTGGCCCCAAGGATTTCTGGTAAAGAAGTGTATACATACACAAAACTTTTATAAAATAGGACAGAAACAGCAGATAGGCTATTCCTTGTCTTCACCCTGGACCTTGTCCATTCCTATTCCAGTGACACAAATGAAGTTGATGTGCCCTTGAATACCAGGGTGGGCACCAAGCGCTACATGGCTCCAGAGGTACTGGACGAAAGCCTGAACAAAAACCACTTCCAGCCCTACATCATGGCTGACATCTACAGCTTCGGCCTGATCATCTGGGAGATGGCCCGCCGCTGCGTCACGGGAGGTAGGCTTGGAACCGCGAGTTTCTGGTCACGTCATCTGGCACCATTCCCAGGGCCACAGGACATGGGTTGAAGCCCATGCAGGCAGAAGTGCTGGGCAGAGTTCAGAGACCCCAGGCAGGCTGCCCGGAGTCGCTCAGACAGAACGAGTGCCTTCACCCCACAGTGAGTTCTGTGTGCGGTGTGGCTGGGGGAAGATCCTCACCAGCAGAACCAGCACCTTAGCTGTGTTGGAGGCCAGTCCCCAAGGTGTCCGTCCCTGGCAGGATCCGGTCCAGCCTCTGGAAGGAGAGCAGTGTTCACACACACCACGTCTTTTTCACAGACTATCTGGGGACAGTGCACTGCCTGCCCTCCAGGGAAGGTGTCTGTCCTGTCGGAAGAGGTTCCGAGTAACTTGCCTGAGGACAGCAGGCTAGGGCTGCTGTGTGAGTGCTCTCTCTGCACATTATGGTCACTCTGTCTCTGGCCAAGCACAATGAGACAAGTGAAGAAACTGCATCCATCAGTAAGAACAGCTATGGGCAGGTGTGGTGGCGCACGCCTGTAATCCTGGCACTCAGGAAGCTGAGGCAGGAGGCTTACTATGAGTTCAAGGCCAGCGTGAACTGCATAATGAGACCCTGTTTCAATCCCCCCACACACACACAGTAGGAATGGTTATTTAAGTAGGTAATGAGATTTAAGTAGGTAATTAGATTAAGGTTGGAATTCAAAGATAAGTGAATTTCTGGTTGCCATCTTTTGTTCTTAAGGAATGTTAGTATGCCCTTTGCTGATGGACTCTGTCACACTGTGATGGGCTCCCGTGGAGGGAGAGGAAATAATGGGACTTAAATAAGAGAAAAACATGGATTTACTATGCGAGTTCATTCCCTGGTCATGCTTGTTTCTTCATCATGTAGGCAGAGTCAGTTTTTGTTCCCAGCTCAGTGAGAGGCCAAGGGGACTTGGCCCCTGTCTATCCTTGGGCCCACTGTGCTGTGTCCCTTCTACAGGCATCGTGGAGGAGTACCAGCTGCCATACTACAACATGGTCCCCAGTGACCCGTCCTACGAGGACATGCGGGAGGTTGTGTGTGTCAAACGCCTGCGACCACTGGTGTCCAACCGCTGGAACAGTGATGAGGTGAGTGGGCTCGGCCCTGGGGCAAGGGGGATGGGGGGTGGCTGCCAGGGGCTGCTGCTCAGCACATGCTCTTCCCTCCCAGTGTCTGCGCGCGGTCCTGAAGCTCATGTCTGAGTGCTGGGCCCACAACCCAGCCTCTAGGCTGACAGCACTGAGGATCAAGAAGACACTTGCCAAGATGGTGGAGTCCCAAGACGTGAAGATCTGACACTTGCACAGGCAGGAGGGCCCCGACTGTCCCCAGGGCACTGCGGCACACCTGCATGTGGCCCCTCCTCCTCACTTTCACAGGCTGCTAACATTGCCCTGCCCTGCCCTGCCCTGCCCTGCCATGCTCTGCAGGACACCACTAGGGCTCGGGACCCTGCATTCTTCCCACATGGACAGCTGTATTCTAAATGTGGTTTTTGATGCCTTTTTAATTGAGTTTTTATGAGCTCCATCAGGACTCCAATCCTGATTCTTAAGTCTCCAGTGGAACTCTGTGTCCTGAATTGCCTATTCCTAAGTGGTGCTTTCTGTGAAAGCCGTAAGAAGCTAACTGAGCAGCAGAGATGGAGAAACCCACTTTTGCCTTCTACCTGAGAAATGTAATCTGTTTGTACTCTGCCTGTGTAAAGCAGCATCCTATGATGATGAGCTCCTTGGGGTGCCGCTCAGCTGACGGCAGTGCATCCTGCCCTTCTGGATACTGGTGTGTGCGTGGATGCGCCAGGATCCCTCTGCTGCCCGTGGAATTAGAAGAAAATGATTTATGAATGCACAGGAAGAGGCTGGTGGCTGGTGGTTTTGTGCTTTAAAAATGCAATATGTGGCCAAGATTTGCCAATTTGTAATAGCCATTTGTCTTGCAAGTGAGGTAGCTTCCCCAGCAACTTTGTCTTTTAACATAATAGTTGCTGTAAAGGCCAAAAGAAGTTCAAAGTGTCTGTAAATTTAGACTTTTTTTTTCTGCTGCCATCCTTTTTCATTTTTTGTAATTATTATTTCATCATGAAAAGCATCCTATCCAGAGTTGGAGCTTCCAATGCCATGAACTGTGTTGATAAAGCAACCACTTCTTATTGAAGTGGAATTACTGCATCTGGTAGCGATGTAAGTGCCTAAATCATGTTCTGCATCCTTTACTCACAGTAACTTTTAAAAGGGAAGTTATTTATGTTGTGTGTATAATGTGCTTTACTTGCAAACCCCCTCCTTTCCAGCTGAGTTTATGTATGTACATACATTCATGCTACAGTGGCCAGTTCTCGGAGCCTCACATCCTGTCCTTGGGGTCAGGTTGGTGTAGGTCGAACACATACGAACTTTCAGAGTGTGAGCAACTTCAGGCAAAGACTTCATTGAGATATCATCTCAGTGGTCCTTTGCTAAAGAATTCTATAATTAGAGATTTATGTGTCAGAGCTGATATAAATTGATCCATACTCGTAATATGTTTTAGATATCTAAATCATTTGAGACTTTTTGAGGTTTTGTTTCTGGTCCCTAACTAGTGAAGATGAGGAAGAGCCTGGCAGAGGTGTGCAGTACTCCTGTCTGTACCATGTAGCTCTTATTCAGGAAAATGATACCAATTTTATATACAGTAGAGGCCTTGTTATCTGAGCAATACTGGGTCCCTTAAACTTACTGTGCTTCTGTAACACCTTTGAAATGCTTTTCTCTTATTCCCAACAATCAACTCATGAGAGCATCAAGTGAGACAGTGTCCTTTGAATGTAACAGGAAATAAGTGTGATTGTATCACAACATGGCCAGAAAGGTTTGAATTCAATGGGGGAAATCAGAGCATACATACATCCATCACCAAAATCTTGACTGTCATTTAAGGCCAAAACTTAAGACATTGTCCTTATGCCAGATTTAACAAAGCTGAAACTTGCCTTAATCATGTGTTTAATAAGTTTCATTTAACATAAAGTTTTAAGTGTTCGTCAAATAAATCTGCATATTAATAGTATCCACTAATATGCTTCCAGAATGTGGCTCCCTCTCCCTGTGGAGAAGCACAGATACTGTAATCACAATCATTGTGTGATTTGAGAATACTTACAAGATCTATTTACTTCGTTAACTTTGATTCATTTTTCCCTTGGTAAACTTTGTCTTGAAAGCCATTTATCACCTTAATAAAGAAAATACGTAAAGAAATGCCAGTTCACCCTTAGAAAGAGCTGGTATGTGGAGGCAAAAGAGATGACAGAGACAATATAAATCACTACCATGAGTTTTTAAAATTAACTTGGCCTAGTAAATGACATCAAGAATTAACTTCAGAAGTTTGATTAATGAAAGCATTTTCTGTATAACATGTTACAAAGCAAATCCTGCCATATTTGTAATTTTTAGATTTTAATCTGAAAATGTTGCGTGAAACTTACTGCCCTCTTAAATTTGAAGTTCATCCAGTAAGTGAAATATTCAAAGTCCAACAAGAGAACATACTGTGTTTATCATAGTTAATAATTTGTAAAACCCTGGAAGCCATTATTTGATCCTACTTAGAATTTTAGCATTTTAACAATTTGTGGCTTCAGTCAGTCATTTAAATAATTAAAAAATAAACACAAACTAGAAAATCTCACAGACTACCTGAATATAAGCAGCAAAAATTAATGGTCAAAGAAAATTCTCCTTGTGAATTTTTATGCTGGCCACTATCTCTAGAATTTAAGGCACATTCCACCTCCCTTCCAACTGCGCCTGCGTGCTGAGCACGGCCTTCAGGGGGCACCTGAGTCGGGCTTTTCCAGTCTTCAGTATTGCCTTGCCTGTATTCCAAAGTGCTTCTAAACTTAGAAAATGACCTTTATTCTTTGTAAGTTGTTTTCCTAGAATGTGCCAGGTTTTTATTTATTCACTCTTAACAAATACACAGTACCTTTTCTTTTCAGGTTCAATTTTTCTGGTTAGAACAAAAAACCCAGGTTTTTTGGGGGTTTTTTTGGTAGTGGGGATCGAACTCCGGTCCTTGTGCTTGTGCAGCAGGCAGCGAAACCACTGAGCTAAATCCCCAGCCCTAAAAACCCAGTTTTTAAAGAATCATGCATCTCTGAGTTGGCCTGAGGTAAATCTGATCGTGAAAAGTTTATCTCGGGACTACTTTTATAAATTTTTTTTTGGTACTAGGGATCGAACTCAGGACCTTCCGCTTGCAAGGAGTCAAGATCTCCCCCGCCCCCCCAGGGATTGAACTCTGGACCTTGCACTTGCAAGGCAGGTGTGGCACCTCTGAGCTAAATCCCAGGCCCTTACTTTTATCAATTTAGAACACATTTCTTTCCATATATGTTGTTTTGGAGCATTTCTAAATAAGCAAAACAACTTAATCACAGAAAATTGATTTTCCAAAAGATGGCTACAGCCTCGTTCTGGTGGAAAGTGATAATATTCCAGGTGCCTGGTGTCAGATGCCAACACAGCAGGCAGCAGTTTGTCTTTGTACCATAGAGCTGTGAGCCGAGTCACGGTGGGAACTGCGAAGAGGACATACATAGCCTGAGAACCAGATTAAGGTGGGTGTGGTGCTGCACACCTGTGATCCCAGCACTCAGGAGGCTGAGGCAGGAGGATGTTGAGAGTGCAAGGCCAGCCTGGGCTACATAGCCAGACCTTATCTCAAAAACCAAAAGAAAAAAAGAACCAGATTAAGTGTAGGACAGCAGCAAATAGACCCTCTTGTCAGGACCGCATTTGCAGAAGGTGAACCATGTCACGTTAATGCTAGCTGTGCTCTGTCCTCTGCTTCACGGAATTATTTAAGCTCTTTTAGTGACCTTTATCCTTTCCCACTGAAAACTAAGATGTAGTATATGTTGTATAAAATGAAGATATCAATAGACCTAATTAGGGAAACTGTACATAGGCATTGAAAAGGGTAAAAACAAGCAGTTTTATTATGCAATTGTAAAACACCAAAAATCCAGATCTTTGATACATAACACACTAAATGTATTTTGTACAGCATCTGCTTTAAAGGGTGCCTTACTCAGTACCATTAACTGCTTTGTTCTATATACAGATTATGTCCAATGTATCATTTTTAAGTAAATAACCTTATTTTAGTACACTGTAGTGATGTGTTTTGTGATGCTGTTGTCGCCGTGTTGTGCCTCGGAAGTCACCTGGTGAGGTGGTATAACAGGTGAGTTACGAGCATGTGCCCCAGGTGTGTGTTTGGCCACACACCCTTGCCTTGTGCAGAGTGAGGTGCTAAACCTAACAGGGAGAGATCCTTTGCCTTTTATTTTATAAATTGGTCTTTTATTATAAAAATGTACTCATGGCAGAAATTTGGGGAAATGTAGGAAAGAATAAAGAAGCAAATAAATCAAATTTCATTTCCAGACATTATTACTACTTACATTTGAATGTTTCTTTTCTATCTTGTTTTTTTACAATTTTAGATCATAATATGCCACTATATACACATTAAAACATATTTTTTAAACCACTGACTGCATGTATTCCACCAGCTTGATGGAGTCATTTATTCAGCAGCTGCCTTTGGGGTTTGGGTTATTTCCATGGTTTGGGGGACGAGGACCAGTGCACCAACCACTCAGATCTTCACTCTGTTAAGTTCCATTTCTAGACTAAGATCAGTGGATGTGAGCTCAGTATTGGGGTGCTGGAGATGGTCCCAGGCCTCACACATCTAGGCCTGTGCTCTGCCCTGGACCAGGCGGGAACCAAAAAGATGACGGGTTGCAATGGAAACACCAGTGGTTCTCTGTGACTTCCACCTTGTCGCCGGCCAAGAGGACTTGGCTCTGCTCACCAGCAGCTCTTGGGAAGCTGGCCCAGCTGCCTCTCCCTTCCTGCCCTGCCTGTGTCGTGTTGGGATCGGCACTGAGGCTCCTCGTGTGAGGCACTGCCTTGGAGTTCAAGCCACAGGGTCTTTCTCCAGGGAGGTCCAGGCCTGTCCATATCACTGGCTTTCCCTCCATCTCTGCACACTGGATGAATAGTTTCCCTTTTCCTTCCCACACAGGAACAATTTCCAAGGTTTCTTTTGTATTAATAGAAATTTAGTATTAGGAGTAGATGTCTAGGGCCAGGGATTTAGCTCAGTGGTTTTGCCACCTGCTGCACAAGTGCAAGGATCCGAGTTCAAACTCCGGTACCAAAACTAACAAAAAGATGTCTATCATCATTGCACGTAATTTCAGGCAGTGGTAGAGCTGGTTGTGTGGCTCAGTGGCAGAGCACTTACCTAGCAAGTGTGAAGCCCTGGCTTCTATCTCCCAACTATTAAAAGTTTTTCAAGCAAATGTTAGTCAGTGGGTCTTCCTTCCCTTGCCAATACAATGACCATTTCCAGCATGGCATGTATTTGTGCAGTAGTAGGGATTAAGCCCAGGATCTCCTTACTGAGCTACACCCCCAACCCTTTTAAAAAATTTTTAATTTTGAGACAAGGTCTTGGGTAATTCTCTTAAGCTGTCTATGCTGGACTCGAACTTGAGATCCTCCTGCCTCAGCCTCCCAGAGTGCATTACACGTGTGTCCCACCATAGCTGGCTGTGACACCTTTTAAAGTCAGATGCATGTTCCTAGGCAGCCTTGTTTCAGCTCTTTGGGTAGTGCATGCAGAGAAGCACAGTGGAACCAGGCCGGTCAGTGGTGCTCATCTGTGGTGACCTGGAAGTGAGCACGTGGGGCCTGCCTGTCCCTTCTCCAGCCTGAGTAGCTCTGGTCACTGCCAGTGACCAGTGTGACCTTGGTGGTCCATACCACTCAGATCATGACATCCTGGGGAGTCCAGCCCTGCCTGTTCCTCCTGAACTTCACAAAGGGACTGAAGTGTCACCGACGCCAGAGCTCAGTGTGGAACACTGAAGCCCAGCAGGCTTGAGGCTGGGGAAAGGAATGTGGGCTTTGGGAGGGTGCTTCCTTGTATGGCAGATCCAGAGGTGCTCTGCCAACTAAAATGCCAGTGTTGGCAAGCAGGTAAAAAACTGAGTGCCTGCCTGTTATCGCAGCACTCTTGGAGGCTGAAGCAGGAGGATCCCAAGTTTGAGCCCAGCTTGGTTAACAGCGATTTAGCAAGACCTTTTCTCAAAACATAGAGGTTGGAAATGTAGCTCAGTGCAAGGACCCGGGGTTCAATCCCCAGTACCTACCCTCCCCGCAAAGCAAAAAGAGTTGGCAGTGCTGAGAGCATGCAAGTGCTGAGGCAAATTTCAGTCAGACTTAAAGAAAGCAGCTCTTCCTGCCTGAGGTGGAGGGGCTGCCTGTGCTGGAGGGGCTCAGACTCTGAAGCTGCCATGGTTCCCTTGTCTCCCCAAACCTCTCATGAGAGGAGTCTTGACTCCAATAGGCCACGCGGGATTTGTTTCCTAGGTGGTTTGAAGTTTAAGCTTGCCATATCCACTGATTAACTGGGTCCTTTTAAACCCCTGTCTTGGTTACTTTTCTCATTCACTGCTGAGACAAAATACCTGACACCCAAAGATAAGAGGAGAGGTTCATTTCATTTTGCAGTTGTAGAGGTTTCCAGTCCATAGTTGGCTGGCTCCATGGCAGGGTGGCATGGCAGAGGGGCATCACAGAGGAGAAATAGTCCATGGCAAAGCAGGCAGAAGGCAGCAAAGCAAGCAGCAGCCATCCTGCCTTTCCCTTTTGTCCTATCCAGGATACCAGCCTTTGGGTGGTGCCCCCAGAACTATGTAATTCCAATCAGTGGATTAATTT